AACAATCCTGTTATGTCCTGATGGTGACACACAGGGTGATATGTGGTAGTGTTATGGCAACAGGTCTAAAAAATAATTGCAAAAGCTGAATCTGGACACGCATTACTGGTTTGAAATGCACTTCACTTATTCACAGGTAACACCCAGATGTAAGGATATTCTCCTCTTGGCTTCACTTTCTCAATCTTGCTTCCACCTGGAGTTTCTCTCCGAGTTTATGCAAACTAAAAGTAACAAAAAACAAAAATACGTTACCTTGAGCATCATATCAAGTATGTGAATTGGTAAGATTTTTGAAAGAAGTGCATACAGTGTCCCAGGATCCTAACTGATTTTGGTTGGGACTATAGTTTGACAACTTGAAAATCACTGCAGATGTAATGGGAAGTATATGCAGAGACTGAGTTGGGGAGTGTTTGCTGTGTGCTTTTGCAGTACAAAAAAAAAGTGATGATAGTCTTCCCCACCTAGCACAGAAGTGGTATGAATTGCTGGAATTGCTGTGATTTAGAGCTGGGCAGTTCCAGACAGAAGAGAATAAGCTTACTTAACAGTCAGTGGGCTGGATATGGAAAATTATGGGTCCTGAATAGCTGTAGCTTGGCTGTCTTCCATGTTGGTAGTATTCTGTATTGCTGCGTATGCTGTTAACACCTCTGTATATATGAATAGTGTGGTCATACTATAGCTGCCTGGGGAACTGTAACTTTGAACTGTGTAAAGTTTATTCATGTGATTGCCATGAAGAGGGTTTTTTTCTGATGAAAAATGGCTAATTAGAGTAGAAAAGTAGGAAAATAAAAGGCACAAATATGTGCTCATCTCTTCCTACTATGCAATTAGCTTACCTGCATTTAGTTACGTGGTATCTTGAATTGGATGTGAAAGTAATATGGAAGATACCTCAGCAGGGAGGGTTTCCACATACTTTTATTTGCAGTCTCCAAGGATGTTCAGCAAACATGGCAGCTCTACCTGTATTGCTGATGATGGACATTGAGGGGTGGCTCTGCTGTGCAGCTCAGGTCAGGGACAGAAACATCTTAGTAGAAGTGACATGCGACTTGTGATCACAGCATTTGGAGCTAAGCTGACACTAGTAATTAAAAAAAAAAGAATAAATCAAAATGGAAACTACTATAATAAAAAATTCTGCTTTTTATTAGAGCTTAACTAAAAGAACTGTTAGTTATGTACAAGATTAGTAGATCTTTAATAGCTTTTATAATCTGTTTAGTTTTGTCCTGAGGGCTCTCTGATGTTGAATCACACATCATTAATTACTATGGAGACCTTCAAGCAAACTATGAAGACACCTTCACATTTACTCTCATCCCTGTTTGAAGCATTCATGGAACATTTTACTCCTAGCCATTTTTAACCCTTTTCTTGCAGCTGATTCAGAGAAAACTCCAGGAACTCACCAACAAAGTTTTAAGTTGACAAGGTATTCTTTATTGCAGCTCCGGGAGACACGGGGGATAGCTCCTCCAAACTTGTCTCTCCCAGGCATCAACCAGGCTGTGATTATATTGTCCTTAAACATACATATTCATTAGATTACATACATTACATAATACTTCTTAGACAATGCCTCCTGTATGCATACAAAAATGTGGTAGTGGGCTTTCCATCACTTTGTTTTAGGATCACTGTCATATCAGTAACCACTGATATATAACCATCAGTGGTTCTGGCAAAGCTTATTTTAGTAATTTTGTTTTCTCTATAGTTGCTAACAAAGCCTAATGTTCTTGAGGTTACTTATTTACAACCCTATTCTTCAATCAACCCCATTCTTCAGTCCACCCTGTTCTTCAATCAACCCCACTCTTCACAGCAAAGGAAGGATGGTTTGTTTTTTTTTTTGTAAGTATTATTTATTCTTACCATGAGATACTCTAAAATTCAAAGATACACAAGGCAGAAAGTATGAACATTGTCGGTTTGGGTCTTAGCCTGTTTAGCATTTCTTATAGGACTGAATGGAGAACAGAAGCTATGTTAAAATAATTAAAAAAAAAAAAAAAAGAAAAAAAAAAGAAAGGAAATCCTTCATATCAATGAGGTATACGAGGTATTAACAGAGCTAATGTTCTCCAGAAAGGAAGTCCTGTGATTGTATGGCTTGGGAAACTTCTGCTAAGTCAGGAGCGGTATCAGTTGGAGCAAATTTTGCACTCTTTTTACCCAGAGGATCTGTTGTAGACAGTCACAGGCTGCAGAGTGAATGTAAGCAAGCTCTGGACAGGTGGAAAATGGTACAAAGACAGAGCAATCCCTTCAGAATTATCTGCAGCTGTTATTTTGCACTGTAATATTCCTCCCATCTTCAATGTTTTCTCCTTTTATAGGTTAGAGCAGTCCTACACAGCATGCAACCAGTTCTCTGTGTAGGATCGTGGCAACTTCTAAATGATCAGGCAAGGTGAGATGCAGGAAAACAGTATGCCCTTCATGGCATCCTGTGTCCTATTTCAAGAACTGGTGCTTGAGCATGTTCCTGGAATAATGTTAAAAGCAGCCAGTGTGCTCTACATACAGTTTGGCTGGAGAGTGTAGGTGCAGTCTCACCTGCAGACAGTGAATATTACTCCTTTAGGAGATTTGAAATGGCACAAAATTTCTGAAGTTTCAACTTCCTTGACAATGTAAGATAAAGTGCTGGGGTTTGTGTGTGAGGAACTGGGAAGTGGCACAGCTGATCTGATGATTTTCTAATGTGATTTTTGATATGTAACATTAGGGCTTTTAGCCAGGAGTCAAGGCAAGGGGCTCTGGCTATAACCTCGTACTCACCAAGTGAGTTTTGATGGGACTTATCTGTCAAATCTGCAATGTCTACAGGAGGGTTTTCAGGCTGGTGGCATCTATAGATTTTAGATGGAGCAAATTAGCTGACAAAATAGGTTTTGAAGGCTGCTGTGTTACACTAAGAGGTCTTTGCCGCAGACAAAGGAAGTGACAAATAGCTTTCCTTGAAATAGGTGCCAGGAACAAGCTGTAAATCAGCCAGCAGGGAGGTAGACCAACTAGAGAGACTAATTTCACTCCTGTGAGAATGAGTGTCACAGAAGAAAGCACATGTTTGATCATCCACAGGCCACTTGGACTCAAGTGCTGGCACATAAAACAGTTGTCGAGCTTTGTGGTTTCTTGGTTTGGTTTTTTTTTTTTCAGTTCTGAAAAGTTAAACCCCCCACTGGCAAAGCCTGCCCCAGTGTGCACTCTGTCCATCAGCTCTTGTTATTCCACTGAAAGTCTGATTTTCACCTCCTCTTTCATGCCTTCTCCTTAGGTTAAAACAACTGCAGCTGCCTCTTAGTGTTTTGCTGTCAAACTGAGCTGAGCTGTTCTGTGTCTCCTATAGCACTGCGGGCTCTTCCCCTAAACTGGTAGTGTGTTTTCTCAATAAAACAAAGGTTGGAGTTATCTAAAAGTCAGATTTTAAATATCAGAGCAATGTAAACTTTTGTATTATCAGTGAATAATTCTGAAATTCTCCTGAACATTGGCAGCTGGTTTTACAGTGAAGGAATGTCTTGTGTGTAATTACATTACCAGGGGCTTGGTTAGTTCAGCTCAGCCAATCAACTATGTAATACTTTTTATCTATGGAGCAGTTATTTACTTAACTGGCTACATGTTTTTATCTTTTAACGTTGTTAATGTCCAGCCAAGACTGTCAGAGTATCACTTTATTTACCAACATTTTAAATTGTTTAAAAAATTGTTTAAAAACAGAGGTGGAAGATAAGGTAAATGTTTCTGCTAACCAGAAGATTTGTAGAAGTGGGTCGTTCACTGGAAACAGCAGTAAAGAGACCCCATAATGTATAATTGTTGATTATGTCTTTGCTAGGATGTCAGGAGCTTTTCCACTGTTATGCAACTCTGAGTGAATGGAAACACCTTTCTTGCAGCTGAAAAGATAATTCATTCTGAATTACTGTGCATCAAGCCAGGGTGCATTGCACTACTGAGATGTGAGTTGCTGCTTACAGAGGAGGAGTAGCTGTGCTACTCAAGCCATCTGTGTCTGCTCGTGCTGATGGGTCTCCATATGAACTGAGTTCCTAAAATAAATCTTGTTTCATCACTGAAGCACACCAGGCTTCTGTGAACAAACCTGAAGTGTTTCTGCAGCACTCTCCTTTTAACTGTTGATGTTATTCACAGTGATATAGACCAAAAGCTGTAGGTTGCCTGCACAGACTCATGGGAAGCAGACCTGGTTGGCAGCAGTCTTCTTTTATATTAGGGTTATAAAGCAACATCTCATTCATTTCATGTCACTTATTGAAAAAACTGTAAAGGACAGGAAACTATTCCCCTGGCAGTTCCAGAGAATGCATTACTTTAGAGGGTAAGTAGTTTCCCCCATTGCTCATTTGCTTGTGGAGAGATGCTCAGCTGAATAATGGCCAGACATGGAAGTGGTAATCATTAAACAAGCAAATCCATCAGTTGCACTCTCCAAAAGAAATCATGGCAGAACATACTTCCCAATCCTGAGAGGTGCTAAGTCTTCTGTGCAGCAGGAGGAAGATATACTTGGTGCTGTGGGTTGAGAGTGTTCAGCACCTTACAGAATCTCACATGGTCAGCGGCAGAATTTGTGCGTCTGGACTTGGGAACTGTGATCTGCAGATTTCTCCCCTATCTGCAGAGCTATTCAGACACAACATTAAAGTGTGATGTGAATGTTCAGAATAGCAGATAGTGGTTAACTGTTTTTTAAAATGAGTCAAAACTTGCCATTTTCCTCCTGGATTTTGGGGGTTTGGGGGGTTTTTGGTGTTTTGTTTTGGGTTTGTTTTCTTTTTTTTTTTTTTGAGACACATTCCTTTGTGTTCTAGCAGTTGAGAAAATAATCCGAATCTGTCATAATGGTTAATTTAAATATTCTCTCTAGTTATTAAATTCCATAGGCAAGAAAATTTTTTTGTGTGTCAATTGCCATTGCTTTTTTTTTCTTCTTTTTTTTTTTTTTTTTTTAGGTGAACATGTTTGTGGAAGGATTCCATGATGCTATTCTTCTTTATGCTCTAGCTTTACAGGAAGTCCTGAAGTTTGGTTTCAGTAAGAAAGATGGTGAAAAAATTGTTCAGCAAACACGAAACAGAACATATGAAGGTAAGAGTTAATGCAGAATTCCAGCTTTCAGAGTCAAAAAAAAATCAGGTATTTATTGTGTGCAGAGTAAGGACCCATGCCTACTCCATTCTCAAATGAGAGGGAAATAACCATATGAAACCACATACATCTTGAAGGCCGGCTCACATACCTCCCCTGTCTGACTTTCTTCTGCACCACCCCTTCAGGTCTTACTCAGTTCAAAAAACTCCTAACAATTTAATGACCTTCATTGATGTTGTAAAGAAATACCAGTAATTTTCTCAGGCTCCTTCTTTGTTTTTGAAAAGATTACAGCTGCTCACTTTACTCATATGCATCTATTAGCTCTGAGATTGCCTCATTTTTTTCCATTTGACTTTTTTATCTTAAAAGCCTAGGAATAGATAGAAGGAAGCAGGTTTTTTTGTTTCCTGACGGGACTTCTTTGGGCCCCTGAAGGCTGTCCCCCCAGCCTTCTTTCAGGAGCTGAGCCTATTATCTCAGAGACAGCAGCTGAACAGCACTCTGCCTTTCTGTACCTAATCCTGTAGGTTGCGGTTCCACAGTGCAGCTGGCACTTGCATGTCACCCTGCTGATGCAAGGTGATGGAAGTGCTTTTGCGAGGTAGGGACCATCATAAAGAAACTGAGTATTACTGGTTTAATCAGTCATATCTTAGAATATTCCAGTGTTCTGGTGTAGGATTGGCAAGATTTCATATGGAAATGCCTAAGAGGAGACATTTCCCCTGGATAAAGAATGAATGATATATTTGAATGTGCAAGGAAAACCTCAGGGATTAGGTTCTCTGCTCTAAGGGCACACTGGACCTAGTGGAGGAAGGCATGAAGTATAGCAGCTCCTCTCTTCTGTTCTCAATTTTTGTCCTAAACACAAGGTGGAAGGGTCCCCAAGGCAGCTGAAGGCAACACAAGGGATTGCTTTAAATTGTTCTGGTTGCAGCCATCCCATAAGGAGCCCTGCCACCAGATGCAGACTGTCCTTGATGTCCTAGTACCTCCCTTTGCATCCATGGTTTCCCAAAACACACTGTTTTAACAGAGGGAGTCTGGTGTCTAATGATTTGCCTCACTGTTTGCTTATCTTGTGTATGGACAGATGCCCCAGCACAGCCTGTACTTTCTGTTCTCTAGGAAGCCACCAGCAGGTGTGTCCACGCAACACTTTTAACAGTACCATGTGCTCCATGCAGGCTACATGGTTGATTCTCGCACCTTTCTTGTAAATCTAACCAGGGAGGAAAAAATGTTCTTTCCCCACTTGTGAAAACCAGTTTGTTGTTGCTGGCTGACCTGTCACACCTACTCTGAAAATGTAGCTGTCATGTTGAGCCTTGAGGGTGCAGTTTAAAAGGTCAAAATGCCATCTCTTCTCTGTGATAGTACTTTGCTGGACATAATCTACAAGGATAAAACTGATTTTGAAAGAGACTTTTAACTCAATGTCTTGCAAGCCAGTCCTTTTAGGAAAATGCTGTCACTTTATTCTGCCTGTAAGCCCCTCTCTGAAGTTGATGCAGCATCTTGGAGTATGGTCCATGCGTACATCCACCAGGTTCTACTGCAGGACTGAAGCTTTATAATTCACTTAAACTTTTGCAGGCCTCGATGATGAGAATTCCAGTTTCATTAATTACATTAACTGGTGATAATTAGATATTTGGTTGCCAGGGCACCTCATTTTGCAGCCAGCTCTGAATAGGTCACCTATCACAACTCTAATAGAATGTGGATGCTGTTTCCTGCAGTGCTTGCAGTCTGCCAGCCACAACTGCATGGACAGCATCATGTGTTTAGGAAAGGATAAGGCTGAGGTGACCAAAGGATTTCTTACTGTTAGGGCTGCTAGGGACACCCTGGTATGACTCCAGGGCAAGTTTTGTGGAGAATATTTTCTATTTATTGGCATTTCCTCTGAAAAAGTAGCAAAATTTTCTGTATGTACCTAACAGAACAAAAAAAGAATCCGGATAAAATCCTTTCACCTTCATCCAAACACAGTTCTTCATTCAGGTTGTTTCAAAATTTCTTAAGTATGTTTCTCATGGAAGAACATTGCAGGAAATGTTGACATTTCAAACTCTTTGGTTTGTTTCGGATGGAAAAGTTAAAAATTAGTCTATCCCATTAAAAAAAAATGCATAGGAATTCTGAGTTTCAGCCAGTTTAATACCTACTTCCAAAAACTGAGTTTTAGCTTTCTAAACCAGGAAGGATCCAGAATCCAAATTTCAAGGATGTTGCAGTTTGTTATAGTGGCCTCTTCCAGTGCTTTCACAGCCAAGCAGTTTTTATACCATTCTGTTTTCCTGCAGTAATCAAATTGGGAATTGTTTGGTAACTGTATTGTAATGAAACAGATGCTCAACAATAATCTTTTGGTGGCCGTTGTGTGTTTTGAAGATCACATTTAAGTTTAGACATTCCTAATATCACTAAATGGGAACAGAGGCAGATAAATAGAGGTGTGTTAATCTGTTGCGTGTTTACTATCATCAGGTATGTTGAGGGGAATTTATAATTTGACTGCATTTCTGACCACTCTCTCTTCTGATGTACAGTCACTGAGAATTTGATTTTCTACTGCTTTGTGCCTGTTCTGGTCATGAAGTTGGTGTCATGTGGATGTATAATTGTCGTGGTTTATACCCAGCCAGACAGCTCGTTCACTCACTCCCCCCCTTCTTGCCCTCCCCCTACTCCTGGAGGGATGGAGAGGAGAATCGAAAAGAATGCAACTCCCATGGGTTGAGATAAGAACAGTTTAGTAACTAAGGTATAACACAGATCACTGCTGGTACCACCAATAATAATAATGATAAAGGAAATAACAAGGGAAGAGAATACAACACCTCACCACCTGCTGACTCATAACTTGCCCCCCCAGCCTCACCAGCACCGACCCATGCCTCTTGCAACCCCGCAGTCTACCAGCCCTTCCGGGTAGCTCTCAATTACATCCTGGGCATGACGTGCTGTGGTATGGAATACCTCTTTGGTCAGTTTGGGTCAGGTGTTCTGTCTCTGCTTCCTCCCGGCTTCCCCTCCTCCCTGGCAGAGCATGAGGCTCACAAAGTCCTTGGCCAGACCAAAACATCAGTGTTATCAGCTCTGTTCCCAGGCCGAAAGTCAAAACACAGCACTGCACCAGCTACCAAGAAGAAGAAAAATGACTGCTACTGCTGAACCCAGGACAATAATGATGCGTGTTTGATTTGCACTGGTGTAAATGTGTATGTCTGGTGCCAGGCAGTGGAGGATCGCATTTTGGAATATCTAAGGAGATAAAGCTATCAGCAAAGGCTTACAGGGTCTTCATCACAGTTAATTGCTAGTGTGTAATGGATTTTAAGAACCTGTTTGACTTGCAGCATAAGAGATTGGAGCCATGCTTTTTATACACAACGGCCTACATTGAAAGACGAGGTTCAGACTGAATACAAGAGTTTATTCACCATGCCCATCGGAACAAGTTGCTCTAGGGAGGTTGTGAAGTTGCCATCCTTGGGTGTTTTGAAGACTAGATAAACCCCTGAACATCTTCCTATTCTGACCTTCTGGCTGACCTTTCTCTTAGCAGGAGGTTGGACTCAAGACCTCATTAAGACCTTTCAAACTTGAGTTACCGTATCTCTATGATTCCCAGTTTCCCTAAAGTTTCCTAGAACTTGTAAAGGAAGACAGTGAACTGGGGGGGGGTGGGGGTGGGGGTGTGTCTAAAAATATAAAATAAACAGCACCATATTATGAAGTTAATCCTATGTAACTGAATGCAGGACTTAAACATAGTGCACATGGTGCTTCCTCTCCATGCCGCCTCCAGTATCCCACCAGGTGGAGACAACACTGGATTTGCTTTATGAGTGCACAAACCCCTTTAGTCTGCGGGGTGTAGGGCTGTGCCCCTGTGTTCTCTGCAGCACATGAGCTGGACTTTCCTTACTGAGGCATCATTAGGTACTTAAGGGTTAGGCTTTCTGTAAATAATTCACATTAACTCTTTGTTTTTTTATTCTTGCATGCTGGCTTTTGGATTAGATTTTTCTCACGTATTCCCTAAACAGCCTCACACATTTGATATTTAAAAAGGAGAAATGTTAAGAATTCAGGAATGCAGACATTGGGATGAAATTACAATTTCTTTTGGAATGCCAGCAAAAATGCTGGGAGACTGATAAGATTTCCTGTCATATCAGTCTGTAAAAACCTGTCCACTTGTTTTCTTGTTTTCCTTGGAAAGACTCAGTATTTTAATTAATTTTCTAATTTCTCACATGCCATTCTGTAGGCATTGCAGGGCAGGTGTCCATTGATGCCAATGGAGACAGATACGGGGATTTCTCTGTGATTGGAATGACAGACCCAGAGGCAGGCATACAGGAGGTAAGGAAACAAACACTGTTGCAGTTGGCCACTGGTTAATTAGCCAATATAATACCACATGATATCATCTGTTTACTTGGTGAACATTTGCTTATTTAATATGCAATTTAAAATGGTATTGATTAATTTTATCAACCACGAGACCAAATCCTTTCTGTAAAATAATTGTCTTGAATTAGTTATTCTAAGCTTTTTTAAAATTTTCTTAACTTCTTTTCTTTAACAAGACATCTTTCTTCATATGATGCTAGAGTCTTTAAAATTTAAAAGGTGAAATCCTAGAAGCTAGCTAAGCACTGGTAAATTCTGAATATGGGAAATTGCTGTTTAAAATGAGCAGGGCTTTTTATTCATTGGTAAGAAGAGAGGTTAACTTTATAGCAATAGGGCTGCACAAATCACCCTGATGTATGAGCACAGTGAGTTACAGGTATTTGAGTCTTACCCTGTGGTCAACTATAGGCAGGAGTGCAGACCTTGTCTATCAGGCAGCAAGACCTGAGTGTCTTGTTTTCAATGCTTAAGAGACATTTTAATCAGACAGCTCCACATACACCACGTGGGTTATTCCACTAGGTGCAGCAGCAGTGGAAGCAGTCAGAGAGTAAAAAACAGCCTATGAGAAATAGCACCAGCTGCACATAGAGAATAGCACGACTGGCTTGAGTTTGTTAGTACATGCATTGCCCTAACTCCAGCTGCAGCGTAAAGCTTCTGTTAGTTGCAGCGTCAGCATCTACGTAAGCTTTGCTGGCCTCCCCTGTTTCATCAGTCTCAACCATACAGTAGCAGCAAGTCTGAGCTGGACATTTCTATATGTGGAATCCAGTGCAGTTATAATGTTTCTGTCTGTGCTGCGGCAGAGAAAAAACTCAAGAAGCCTTTTTTAAACGCGTCAGGATGTCTGGTTTCTTTTTATGTATTTTAGTGTGTAGAAGTAACTGAAAAATTACAGCAGCAAACGGCAGACACTCCAGAGAATAGGAGTAGTCATCATTAACTGAAGCTAGGAGTACAGTTTGATTAGGATATCTTTGGTTTGAACTACTTGTATTTCCTCTGTTCACCCCATTAGCTCTTTCTTTCACCTATCAATGTAATCCCCCTCTCCTACCCTTCCTTCCATTGCTCTTTCACTCACAATTTAAACTATCTTTTATTTCTTGATGTTACATTTCTTCTTTTACCATATTGCTCATTTTAATTTCTCTCTGTTTTGTATATAAATCTACAATATACAATAATATAAATTAACATATTTTAGATGTGGTTACTTACTACTTGTGTCTGCTACATTCGTTTCTACCCTTATGCCTCACACTAAAAACTTTGTTTCTTCCATGTCTTGTTTTATTAATTTTGCCAAATTTTTGTGTGCTTGTATGAGATGTTTCTTAGCTGAACTGAGTCAGATGAATGGGTATTTGGGCAGAGCTGATTTTCCAAGTTCATTCACAGAGTTTAAAACTAGAAGAAAACACTAGATGACCTAGTTTGAACTCTGCGGGCAGGTTTCTTGCTGTTGTATGAAGCCCTGTAATTTACATGTGATGAAAGCTCATACTGTAACAGGCATTGTTTTTCATTTGTAGACACTGAAAGAACAGGGACTGCCTCGCTTCCTCCCTCGATGTTTGTTCCACTGTTTAACTACACTTCTTGCTTTTTAAAGATACATATCCTACTTCTGATCTGAATCTGTTTGGTGGCTGCTTATAGCTATTTGGTCTCCTTAAGCCTTTCATGCTTTCCTATTTAGCAAGCTGTGCTGGTAGAGAACTCTCCCACTCCTGTTCGATAAATTAAGCAGTCTCTTACTGAACAGTTTGCTGCCTGCAAATTGTCTCAGAGTTTTCTTCCCTTTACTTTTTCCAGTTCACTGAATTTGCCTTTATTTTTGAATAAATGTTTTAAAAAGGTCTTCTAAGGATTTATCTTCCATAGCAAAACTAAGTAATTTCTTTATTTAGTATGAAATCTGTCTTTCTGTACATAACCCAGGCAAACGTTATCTCAGAACTCCTTTCAAAGTCAAGTTTAGGTGAAAGATTTGAACAGGCTATCAGTAGCTCGAATTATAAACCTAGTGTATTAATAGATGTTTTTTATCCATGGTAGAAACACTATGAATAGAAATACATCCTTCTACCATTGTTTCTGACTACTTCAGTGTCATGATAATTGACTTACTACTGTACCTAGGGGTTTTTTTAACTATTTTCTAGTGACTGACCTAGCACAATTGAGTCCTGCAGCTTTGCAGTAGACCCAACATGTATTATTTTGGGTAAAGCCTGGATTTGCTGTTGAGGACAGGACTGAAATTCTAAAGTATCTTGATGAATTGGTCTGAAATAATAGTCTATTCTACCAGAATAATAAGCATGAAAGTCCCTTTCTATGTAGATGTCAACAGCTGCATAAATAAAAGGTGGAGAATGACAGGCTCCATCATAGTTCTTCAGAAGATTCAAAGATTTTAGCTGAACATGATCAAGTACCTGCAGATCCTTGCAAAACAGGTAAGTCCAGGCTGGAGTGTGTAGTCAGGAGCCTCAGTACATTTGAAATGATATTTTCACTTAGCTGGGTGACAGTCCTGATCACTCAACCCACTATGGAGCAATCGAAGAAAGCACAGGGAGAGCAGGAAGAGTATTCAGAGTGTTAAAAAACGCTGTGTGAACTGGGTTTATATAGAAGAGGAGCCTAAGGGCACACCAGATAGGATACTGTGAGTATGTAAAGCAGTGTTTCAGAAAGCAAGTCTCTGTCCATTGGCAGTTCAGTAAGTAAGTAGTGATAATTACAACAAGGGTGATTTAGGTTACCTTAGGAAAAAACACTGACAATAAGGATAGCTAAATTCCAGAATAATTGCTTACAGGAATTGTCAAGTCTCCATCTCTGAATGCTTTTAAGAACAGGTTAGATAAACATCTGTCAGGAATGCTTTTGTTCAACTGATCCTGCCCTGGGGCAGGGCATGCACTGCATAACCTCCTACAGACCCCTTTAGCCTGGTTCTTTGTGATTCAACATCCTGCACAGCCATCCAAGTGAGTGATGCTGTTCTCCTCTTTAGTTTTACTTTCCTAAATTGATTGGAAAATCTTTTCATTCTTTTTTTTTTTTTTTTTCATAGGTGATCGGGGACTACTACGGAAAGCAGGGGCGTTTTGAAATTCGGCCAAATGTGAAATATCCTTGGAATCATGGCAGGCTGCGACTAGATGAAAGTCGGGTTTCAGAGCACACGAACAACACACCATGTAAATCATGTAAGTTTAGTGACTTAATGCTTCTGCCCAGGCTGTCAGAGAGAGAAATCCATGTGGTGATGCAACGTAATGGGACATATTAAATTTGTTAGCACCGTTGTCCTATTGAGACATCATGACTAAGTCTCTGCTGACTGTTGGGGAAGTTAAGGTCTGGCAGCTGTGGGTAATATGTGGTCTGAATTACTTCCCTGAATTTAAACGTGACAGTAATCATGATGCACAGTCCAGGGCCCTGGAGACTTTAGGACTTTTCCAGGGACTAAAATCTCTTTTAGCCAGAAATCTAAAATCTGTTTTAGCCAGAAAGAAAGACATAACTGAAACCTCAAATAAAGAATAACCATATTGATAATTAGCAGCTGGGAAGGCAGTGTTGACAGGAGTAGTGTTCTTCCAGTGCAGAATGATTTTCACTGCTATTGAGAGGGCACTGTGAGTGGCCAGTAGACTGAGAAGAAGTGAAGTCTGTGAATCCAGAAGGCTGTGACTACTGTCCACAGAGAAGGTGCCCTTGCTTTGCAGTATGCTGACTTGGCAGATCATATTGTGGTGAGCAGGATGTTCCAGGGAGATAAGGGTAGGAAGATACTGGTGCCTCAGTGGCAAAGAGTGGTCTCAGCTATCCACAGGAAACAAACTGCTAGTGCTGCAGTGACAAGGTATCTGCAGGCTGATGATTTTTCAGTTCCTGAAAAACCTATGTGTATGTACATACTGTAGAGGCTGTTTCCAGCCCATGTCCTTTATGCTTAGCATGGTGTAGCTGTGCACCTTTTTCCACACATCCTGATGTACAGACAAAATTGCCTTGCACTTTACAGAGTAACAGTCCCTACTTGGGCTCCCCATCAGCCAGTGTGCTTCTTGCTCTGCCTCTGCTGAGATCTGAAGCAAGGAAAAGCTCATACAGGTTTGACTTGAAATAACATAGGTTCAGAGGAAACAAATGAATTGAGGAACCACTGGATAATCATACATTTATTTTAAAAAATCTGGGTGATAGAGGGTTATGATGCTAAGTGAAATGAGTTTGTTTCTGTTATAATCACTCAGGGTATATTAAGTGCTGATTTCCATTGTGTGCGTCACTGTAATCCCAGTCTGGGTTTATGATTCAGACCAAGTTGTCCAGACCGGTTTGCTAACAGCATTCCTGTGCATCACATCTCTAGAACTGTGTCTTCATCTGACACTGATCTTCAGGACTTAACCCCAGAAAAGCAAGGACAAAAAATAAACATGCAGAAACTGGAACTAAGAAAGAGGTTCCCATGCAGTCCTGAGGTCTGAAAGGCTTTTGTATTATCTGATGTTGGTCACTCATTTCCTAGTTGTATATTTTCCAATATGTGAATGCAGATAGTTCTCAATATGAACCCTGATTGTTTATTTTTCCCCCTTTCAAGCAGGTGGTCTAGGAGAATCAGCAGTCACAGGAATAGTTGTGGGTGCCTTGCTCGGAGCAGGATTGCTAATGGCTTTTTACTTTTTCAGGTTAGTCCACTTCTTTGAAAGTTCTGTGAATTCTTTATTTCAAAGCCTCTTAGCTCCTGGCAGCACATCCTTGATGTGAGACAGGGAGGCATCATAATAATCTGTGGTAAAATTCCCACCAAAGCAGCACACTTGGATTGTCCTTTTGTGTATTTCCAGGTCATTTTTTTAACTCAAGGCCTCATCCCGTAACCATTTACATCTCTGAGTAACTTTGCTTGTGGAAGTAATTCCAATGAGTTCTAGTCATTCACAGTTGCTTTAGTAAAGCACCCTGGCCTCAAAAGCTGCCTTTGGTATTTCTTGCCAGCACAATTGTGCAGGGTGTGGTTGTGCAAAAGATTTATGTCACTTGCCTGGTACCATGCTTAATTTTTCAGTATTGAGCAGAATTGTCCTGGAAGCTAGAAAGAGATTCCTGTTTCAGTATAACAGAGAATTTGGATTTCAAAGCTGTGCATTTAACTTAATAAGCTGAGGTCAGTGCAGGGTGATCAGTTAAGTAAAATAATTCTTTCACAGTTCTTCAACAAATCTCAAGACTTAAGAGCTGATCCTACACTGACAGAATAAATTAGTTATACATGTTGAATATATTATATATAGTATAATTTATCCTTTTATGCTATGGAAAAGGAGAATAAAATTAACCTCTGCATATAAGAATTAACTAATTCAATCCAATAAAAATATTTGTTTATAAAAGAATGTTAACAAAACAAAAAAAGCAAAAAATGCTTCAATTCAACAACACATTTCCAGGGTTTCAGAGGTCCCAGAACCATGGTTATTCATCAGGTGCTTACAACTAAAATTCTGCAGTGTGATTTTATTCTTACATGTGTTTGGTGCTTATATAATATGTTGTTTGAAAGAAGATAAGTTAGCCAAGACTGATTAAAGACTCTCTTTAAAGAAAATACAAGTCTGTCTTTATATTGTATGTCATCAGAGGTACTTGCATCTTTTATAAATTCTTACTCTGAGGTGACAGTTTTGAGCTGTGTTTTTTATCATTGCTGATATTGAGGATGGAATTGGTATGTGAAGACATGAAATGAGGCTAAAGATATATCTTGGGCTGAAGGAAGCCTTGGGTACTCTGTCAGATACATCTTCATGTATGAGACACCTAAAGACACATGGGAGAAATTTATCCTGGACATCTGATTGCACTTACTCAAAGCAAGTATAGGGACAATCCTCTAATTTCACCATTAGAGTAAACAGATGAAATCTACCATATGAAGCTGTATAGGTCAGATTTTCAGAAAATGTAGGTCTAGCAATTGTGTGCCTGTCAGTAACTTGTACCTGCAGCTTCGATACCTTTCAAACTGTATGTATCTTCTGATTACTTCTCATTTGGATCTGTAATTACCACAACCAAGCATGCAATCTTGGCATACAAACTTTCTGTCACACATCTTCACAAGCAGAGCTGTATGCATTTGGGGCTGTACTAATGCCTTTTGGAAAAATTGGTCCTGAAAATGAGTAGAAGCATAAATGCATGAAATATAGATAGGAATCTTCTTAATGATTTTGGGGATACTAAAGGGGAAACCGAAAGGCAGTCAGAGGGCTTGTTTGACATATAAAGTAACATAACAGAATTCTTCAAAAGGCCCTAGAAGAAGACACACAGGAAAACCTGTTTCTGATGCATGAGCAATTGTATTTATTTCTTATCTACCCTCTACATCCCTTTACTTAATTCATCACACTCCCTCCTCCTCTGACATTACATAGCAGCTTTCTCAGAGGGAGAAGGGAGGATTAGTTAGTTAATATACAGTTTCAGTGAGAAATGCAACTGAATAGTCAGATCTCTTGTTTGAACTCTGCATAAAGTGCTTCCCCACCCCTGTTACTGGAAAGAAATTTGGCTTTGATCAATACAAAGCAGTGATGTGACACAGTTCACATGACACTAGATCAGAAATGTTCAAAGAAGAAAATGTCTGTGTCTTGGTGCTTTGAGACTGCTGTGTAGAAATTAGCAGCATTCTTGAGCCTGGGTAAAATGTTTCAAGGCAAACTACTTTAATCTTTGACCAGGGTTTCACATTCTGCCATATTTCATTTTTCAACCGGCACCCAGCTGTCCCCTACAGGCATTCTTTATAAGGGAAGTCCTGTTACCCTATAGCTGGAGAAGGATTTCCCACTCTTGTTCCTTTCCTTTCATGCAGAAAGAAATACAGAATAACTATTGAGAGACGAACTCGACAGGAGGACTGTAACATGGGGAAACATCGGCAGTTACGTGAAGACTCCATTAGATCTCATTTTTCTGCCGCATAAAGAAGAAGAAAAAGAATCCCATTCTTCCTAGGAGAAAAAAGGAATTAGAGAAAAAGACACAACCAAAGACATCAGTGTAAAAAGAAGAGGCTCTTGAACTCACTCTTTTAAGCAGTAATTTTGTCCTAATTTCTTTCAGAAGCTCAGGAATGATTTACTAATTACATTGTGCCACATGGCCTTTCATCTCATGAAAAAAGAAAATGATGCAGTTTGCTGTTACAGGACATACCTAGTATGTAAAGATGGTATTTCTTAAAGCATAGATTAAGGGGAGTGGATCTGGGTTTAGTTGATGGGGAATGCCTCATTCTATTCCCTCTTTTTTCTTTTCTTAGCTCCTACCACCTCTTTCCTTAATTGTATCTCACACATAGGTATCAAATATGGTTTCACAGGCAGAGGTGTTGGTTGTTGTCAAAAGGAAGAAAGGGATTCAGTTGGGGATGATTCTGCATCACTGAATCATTGCCATCGATTATAGGGGATACACAATTGGGCAAATAGAGTTTAGTTCTGGGAGGGAACTGGCACTTGGGTGTAATTAATTCCATTGGGGCATAATTAACTTTACTGAGAAAGTCAGCAGGTGGAAAACACCCACAAAAAATTCCTTGTTTGTGTAGTATCACAATAAAAAGCACTGATTCTCCTTCTTAGATGATGGGAGTTAGAAAAAACTCCAGTGAAGGATGTGAAGCTTCACTAATATGACATAGTGAGAGAGAAGGCAATCAGGCCTCCAGAAAGGACTGCTTAATTCCTCAGTCTTATATGTGTTTTATCAAGCTTCTTACTCTCCACTGCCATGACTTTTAAAGAGACACGTATAGTCCATGTAGGGGGCTGCTTCTGTTTCCAGTGAAGTCAATGGCAAAAATCCCATTAACTTCAGGGAGCACAGGGCTGCGTCCAAAACTGTAAATATAAAAGTGTTTGTATAGCTGACACAGTTCAAAAGGGGATCTTTTTTTTTTTTGTGTAAAAATGACATTCCATGCTATCATTTTATTTTTAGGATATTTTTATCTTGTATTTTTCTATTAAAGTATCTATTTTTGCTTTGGTAGGATTAAAAATTAAGGAAGAGGATGTTTTGAAGACTTATTTTTTATGATAGAAGTAACATGCAGGGAAAGTCAACAGCTGTAAATATGTTTTAGAACTAGTATTTAGGGAAGGAGAAGTGACTTTATCAATAGTAACAGACTTTTTGCCCTACTTTCTTTCCCAGACATGTGCAACATTCAAATAGTTATTTAAAAAATATACATGCAGTAATTGAATTGTCCATGTGATGATGGACCTGATCCTGAAAATAATGAACTTTTCACATGTTAAATAGTTCTACATTAGTCAGTGAGACTAAATATTTGTGTATGTACAATTAAACACCCAAGGAACTACCTTCAGGAATTGGGGTGGTAAAACACTGCTCTAGGGCTGACTTCAGTCCTGCTGCTGTCGGTATCCCTTGGACTTTTGCCATTGACTTTACCAGGAATAAAACTGAATCTGTGATGAATTAGCTACTAACATGTTATTTTATACTAGACAAAGGAGAGCTCTGTGCTTTCTAGTCAACAAATGGAAATGAACAGTGCATATTATAAATGTGATGACCAAGATCCATAAAAATACTGTCCATGGGAAAACCCAGCTATGACTGTGGTTCTAGTGCATGAAATCTTTTGATTTATCCTATTTTGATTTCATAAGTAGAACTTCCTGGTCTCAGCAGTCAGTCAGAGTTGAAAGTTAATCTCAAAACTGGCCCTAAAGCCTGTGTTCTACAGAAGTTCTAGGCCCTGAAAAGCCAGAGTGCCAATTCATAGATACCATTTCAGGGTAGCTGGAAGAAAGAGCAAAAGCTGGCTCTGCCTTGTTTCTGTCTTTTATTTGTTGGTGGGGAAATAACCAATGGAGTGTTTCCTTGGACTCTTTTCCTTATGTTACACTTGCCTCCCAGAATTCATCACCTGCCCTTGTAAAATACTGTCCCATGTCCCAGACAGCCAGAGGGAAAGGTTTTCTGACTGTCAGGGCAGCTTCAGTATAGCTGGTGGATGTAGACCAGGTAGCTTTGCTATCTTTAGGACTCATTGAAATAGGTGTTGTTTACACAGTAGGTTTCCATCATCCTGTTTCCCAGTCTGAGCATGTGTGACCAAAGTAACGCTGCAGTCAATGGACAGTTTTTTGAAGTAGCCTCTTTTTCTCATGGGCACCAGCAAACACTGTAGGCTAGAGCAGCATTTTCATAGTGCTGTGGAGTGCTGACTTCCACATTCTTATCTTCAGCATGTAGACTTCCACTGCAAGTTGACAAAGATGAAGCAAAACTTGCCATAGTACTGGTGATTTAGTATGTTGAGACCCAAAATTTCAGAGTTAGATGTCTGGATGCTTTGTCCTAGGCCACTGGTAGGTCTGGAGAACCAAAGACTTCCTGACCAGTTTTGGGAATTCTTTTCAAGCAGCTGAGTTTATCTAGTTCAGGAGCACGCATAAGATTTGGGGGTTTTAAAATCATTTCCCAGGGAGTTCTGATCTACTTCTTGTTTTGCAAATATGGCTTTCAATATTTTTACTTTCTTTCATCCACTTGAGTACTTTGCCACAGAAAAAGTGAAGGAAAATTTTCAAATATGTAAAGAGGATATGATTTGAAGCATAAACTTTTTTTGAAATTGTTTTTTATGACTTGTCTTGCAGTGTGAATTGGTACTGAAACAATCACTAGTTAGAGAGCAGGACAGTGGCATAGGTCTGCATGTTTCTTGTCAGGTCAGACCAGAAGACACAAGCCAGGAGATGTGTCTGGGACAATAAATTGTCAGTACAGCTCTTCTATTGTGTCATCTTACTGTAACTAAGCATATTTTTAAAAAAAAGTTTAATGAAAGTCCACTTTTTAATTAAATAGTGTAGGGTTATTAATCAGGAAGTTTTCTTATGAGATATCTGTTGGTGGGATGCTGATGGAGGCCTAGCCACACTTTACATCCCAACACCTCCCAACAAAGGTGAACCTTTCTTGCACATTAGAACATTTTATACTAATGGGCTTTAATCTTTCTACATTGGTGCACACCTACCTGTTAATTTTCCCCATGGAAGTGTGGAGATTGTTAAAGACATTCCACATAAGTAGATAACTGTATAGCATAAATAAACTTGCACTTCTTAGCTGCCTTTCTCAGTGCTCTTAATAATACTTCCCAAGTCTTTTATTGACCATAAATCAAAAACTGTGTGGAGTTTAGAATATTCAGCAGAGAGATTCTTTACCAGCTAATGCACGCTTCCTTTCTGGTTCATCTGCATTAGCTCAATGTCAGAATGTTTAGGCTTCAAACTCTGTAAGGGAATGTCTAATTAAAATAATTTATTCTCAAAAGAGTTTTCAAAAACCTACATTTTTAGCTTTTATTGTTATTATTATTAAAAACATAAATCTGTATTACAGAGCAGCACCAGGAGGGCTTTGACACAGCTCAGCAAGTTAGGACACACTTTAAATCACTCAACTTCAGCTGATAAGAGCTTTGCTCACTTGGAACGAAAGGGTATGATTGTAGCCATGGCTGAATGAAAGGGAATCTTGCCATGTGCTTGAATTGGAGAAAGGTTGGCCCCTTAGGTAATACGTTTATTGCTAAATCTTACTGTTGTGCCTGTTAAATTGAACTAGTGGCTTCATACTTTTTTTTTGGTTTTGTTCAAATTTTGATAAATTCTGCTAATTTAGCATTTTTTTTTAAATTACCAAATGCTGGTCAGCTTAATATCTGGTTAATCTCACAGTTCATGAGTCTTCTGAGCCTTCCACATTCTTATCTTCAACACTTAGATTTCAACTGCAAGTTGGCAAAGATGAAGCAAAACTTGACATAGTACTGGTGATTTAGTATGCTGAGACCCACAACTTTAGAGTCAGATGCCTGGATGTTATGTACTGGGCCACTGGTAGTTCTGGAAGTTTTGTCTGTGGACAGTGTGTGTGTCCTGAGTTGTCTATGACTATCACCATCACCAGTTAATTTCCAGTTCTTTCTGGGATGTGCTTCATTGAAGAGCACTCTCAGCTAAGTTCATTCAGTCATTGCTAAGACTTTTGATTGAGAGTACTGTGCGCCTTGCAAGATTGTGGCTAGAATTCTGTTTATTCAAGAGCTATATTTGCTCACTTCTGAAAGTGAATTTTATTTATCTGTTTTCAATTTGGTTTTATCAAATGCTTTACGGCATTATTGAAAGTATTTTGTTGTTTTTTAATGTAGAATTATTAAAGTTTATCTAATGCTTTGAAAACATTTGTGCTGGACAAAAGAGTGTGCTCCTTGACAGCGTGTTTTACTGAATGAATCTCTGCTTTTCAGCTAGGAGATGAGATCATACTTCCATTAAGCTGATGAAAAAAAACCCTTTCATTGATTCAGTGGAAGTAGACTTGGGTCCTCAGTGAAGTGTCTCCAGGCTTTAAACTCAGCATCTTGAAGCGGTTCAGAGTGAATTTCTCAGCTTTGCAGTGGAACAGGCTGCATCAGCCTTAGCTGACCTTGGCTCTGGCCTGATTTTCACCTCATGAATGCCATAATGCCCCTGGAAAGCCAAGAATAGACATCAAAGACAGGAAGCTAATAGTTCTGGTCATAAATTTCTGTGACAATTCAGTCCACCTTTTCTGGAGCTCAAGACAGTTCCACATCCTTCACTACCTTCCTTTGTGTTTCAGAGTAGCCGTGTAGCTGGTCTGTTTCTTTAAATAAAGCAGATGAGGTTATTTTTCCTCTTTCTCTCCCAGGCTAGTGTGAACATTTGAATTCTCCACTGTTTTCAGGCTCTTTTCTCTAGCTTCAGAAGTACTTTGAAAAGAGACAGCTATTTTCCAGCATTTAGTCAGAGATGCTCCCTCTTCACTGAGAGGTGGCTTTTGTATAATTCCAGCCACTGGCATTGCTGCAGTGCTGCTCAGCTGCCTTCACATCTGGTGCTGGGCAATGGCCACACTGGCTGTTACTGGAGGTGTAGACCCAGAATTGTCTGATGTGGCCCATCTTTTAACTAAGCAAAACTGAAAAATCAGATCAAACGAAAACTTTTTGAAGTTTAATCTGAATTTTTCAGTTAGTATCCTTTCCTTTTAAAAACAGCCAAGGCTTCTATAAATAACTGTGGTTATAAAAGCAATCCCATTAAAATCCCATTAAAATGATAACTGGGTGCCACTGAGATCAGCAAAAATGAACTAGTCCAACATCGTGAGATGATGCCAGGTGATGTCAGCCAGCCTTTCTTTTTTCCTAAGCCCTAATTGTTTTTACTATAAAACGACACCAAATCTAGTGACCACTTTCCACAAAACAGGGCATATGGGAATAGAAATTTGAGTTTCTAATGGTCCATTACCTTTTCTGTCAATCAGCAACATGTCCTAGTATCTTGGCTCACAAGTGTGAGCCATGAAGGGACAATTTCAGTAAAGTGTGTGTTTTGTAGGAGGCAGTTTTAGCCCTTTTTAGAAACAAAGTACAAAAGTTATTTTTTGGAGTATGTTTTCAAGGACGTGCTGGAAAAATTTTCACCTTCAAATGTGTTGTGTATCTCTCCTCTTTACCCACCCTTTCTTTCTGCTGTTGAAAGCACAAAAAGATTGTGCGTATATGAAGTCTTTCAAGTGGAAGAATGGAAGTGTTTGCACTGTGTGTATCCCTGCTTAGAGACAGAAACGAAATCAAACGGCTTGAGGCCTGTATTTTTTGTATTCTTGAATACCTTTTAACATCTGAGCTCTGAGACTGATGGAAAATGATTGTTGAAATTAAAACAAATAGCTGTTTGTGAGAGACCTCAGATTTGGCTGTCTACAGGGATCATCAAAGTGTGTGGCAGACTTTTGATAGTGTCTTTTCTGAAGAATGAGAAGAGGCCTAAGCACTGTGGTTTGCCCCACTGAACCCTTAAGTCTGGCATAAATGCAGCTCTTCCTTTATCTCACCTGTAGAGAGAGAAAGGACACAGGTTAATGATAGCGTTTTTGTGAGGTTCCTGCTGGTTTTGATCAGGAAGACAATGCTGCCACAGCTTTGAGGCTTTCTTGGGCTACTGTTTAATTATGTCCAGAATATCATTACATAGACTGTTTTATTATGCTATTACTTCATCCAGAATGTACCTTTCAGAATGACTCCTACCTGACATGCACCAAATTTGCAGCATACAAAGCCAGCTTTCAAAAGGAGAGGCTTAGAGCTTATTCAGAATCTCTCACTAACCACTAAGTTCTTATGCTGCATCTAAGGCAAAGTATTCTAAGTAACCTGACACTGTTAAAGTTTGTATGTTAAGCTATAGTACTTTAGAAATCTTATGTGGATTCATTAGGTATTATATCTTTGAAAGGTTAAAATTCACTCTGTGTGAACTGTTGCTTGGTGTTTGTCATGTGAATGTTTCTAGAGGACACTTGAGCAAGCAAACAGAATGTACCAAAAAAAGGGATTAAAAAAAAAAATCTTGTTTTAATGTCTGCATTTTTTTTTATTTTTTTTTTTTGTAATCTCAACTGATATGCACAG